CTGATGGGCTGCAGACGACCGAGGACCAACGTCCTGAGAGTAAGACTTAACGACGGACACAAGCATCCACACCCACTGCGAGCTCGTTAACTGAGTAGAAGTTCATCAATCGAAACAGATTGTATGCTACTGGTTTCCTCGTTACCTGAAATGCTCGTAGACAGAGCCGATCATCACCCGAGGCTCCACTGTACTCATCACTGTAAGGTGGCAAAAACTGAAATATCCATTCTGCACAAAACGCCATACGACAATCTATAGCAAGTCTAATTTGCATGCATTAACTGAATGGCCAATGTGTAACGAACCACATAATCGACAGAGATGTTTGAATGAACCAAGGCCACTTCTCGTGCGGATCCCTTCCATTCCCCTCGGTTTCCCAGTTAACCCTTTCGGTAGGTATCGCAGTCCTCTTACCGTCAGCACCTCCACGGCCTTCAACCGCAGTTGCCGACAACGCTGCACTTCCCACAGGCATCTATCTGATATTCTGTGACCGCCCCTCACTCCAAACGGATCGATTGTACAGTTCCTCGGTAGTTTTTTGTATCGTATCCTCCCCCTCTCCACTGATTACCAATTCATTTATCGCAAAAGATCTTATTTGTAACTATCCCTCGATTCTTCTTCTACATTTCCATGTGTGTGTGTTATGGTGATAAACAACTTCGTCATCTGGATACCCATACAGACGAACTCCTCTTTTAGGTATCTGTGCCAACCTCAACGACTTCAGCCGCTACAAATGCTTTCCAGTGTACTTGCTTACTTAACAAGCCCTCCCCCACCCTAATGATCGACCGTGACCCGGCAAAGGAAGAAGCCGAAATAAAAAGGTGTAGGCGCGATTGTATATGTACAAAAAATAATGTCAGAAAAAAGGGAGTTCAGCAAAGCATCCCCATCCCAGCAGAACTGAGTAAATCACAGATCAACAATGCGAACAGACTTAGTAGCAGAAGCCGCGGGCACTGCACCCGACACCCTGGGGCGTAGACGTTCAGGACAGCAGGGTTTGCGTAGGGATTTTTGCCGTCGTCGAAGGCCATTGGACAGACATCAAACTCGTACTCGTTCTCGACGAGTTCTAGACGCAGAGAGGCTCCCTCCTCCGGCAGGGATGACTCTGCTGTTTGCATTTTACCACACTGGTTGCCTAGACTTCGGGACATGGCGTACGTGCGGAGGCTTAGTCGTTGGTATACCCAGCAGCGGAAGCGATTGTTTACCTGCGCAAATTGAAAGACATGTGGAATTCACATATAATTGGAATGGAAATGACAAGATGGTAAGAATTTTTTGCGAGGCCGCATCTGGATATATTTAATAATAAAAGAACTACTTACAGAATCTCAGTAGGCCAATATTTCACAAAATTGATGGAAATCAGCCTGCTGAGATTTTGTAAATAATTCTTTAAAATTATTATAAGAGATCTATACCAAAAATGGAGACTCGTAGGACAGGCATCAATCAAAATCTCATCTTCGACAGAGATCGCACCTTACAACGTGATGACCTCCAGCTAGTATTGAAGCCAATTCCATGAACTGCACGTCCGTGGTTGTGGGGTCGCTACTAGTAGTAGCATTAATCTACAAACACTTTGCGACGATATGATAAAGGTGGAAATAAATCCATTTTCTACCGACTGTAACGAATGTTTTGAGTTGATTTTGACGGGCTTACCGCGGTTTAACAACGGTTGTCTTCGACCTCCCAAATGCATGCATACAACGCTTAAACTTACCTACGGGCAAAGCACCAGATTCAGCGGTTTCGGGTTGGAAATAAACAGGTTCAAACTTTTCTAGTGAGAGCATAAGCTGGCAAACAAAAACTACCCTTGCCAAATGCGGCTACATATAGACCGGGTGAGGAATAATTAACAGTCCGATCTGCAGAACAAGGGTTGAAATTAAACGTCAAACGAAATAGATATGGGTATATTTTGCCACAAACTGACTGATTTTGACCGCTAGAGTATTTGGAATTAAATATAAAATCTTAGAAATTTTCGGTCCACCGAGATCTTCGGTTACTGTGGCATTCAGTTGTTGCCTGAGATGAAATACGAAAAGACCAAAGCCGACATTGGAACCGCCTGCCCCCACGGACCTTGGACCCAAAACAAGTGATTTGGCGGTGGAAGCTACTTATTCCCCACGGGGAGAAGGGGGATATCATGGAGTTTAGTAAACCCACACCTGGTAAAGTGTGAGGCCGAAATTCCCTGTTGTAACTGCACATATTTAATCACTAAACAATGGCGTTTCACAATGTTATT